TTACTCAGGGACACAGAATTGTTACTCAGGGACACAGAATTGTTACTCATTGTTACTACTCAGGGACACAGAATTGTTTACTCAGGGACACAGAATTGTTACTCAGGGACACATAATTGTTACTCAGGGACACAGACACAAAATTGTTACTCAGGGACACAGAATTGTTACTCAGGGACACAGAATTGTTACTGAGGGACACAGAATCGTTACTGAGGGACACAGAATTGTTACTCAGGGACACAGAATTGTTACTCAGGGACACAGAATTTACAGAGGGACACAGAATTGTTACTCAGGGACACAGAATTGTTACTCAGGGACACATAATTTGTTACTCAGGGACACAGAATTGTTACTCAGGGACACAGAATTGTTACTCAGGGACAGACACAGAATTGTTTACTCAGGGACACAGAATTGTTACTCAGGGACACAGAATTGTTACTGAGGGACACAGAATTGTTACTCGGGGACACACAGAATTGTTACTCAGGGGGACACAGAATTGTTACTGAGGGACACATAACAGAATTGTTACTCAGGGACACAGAATTGTTACTCAGGGGACACAGAATTGTTACTGAGGGACACATAATGTTACTCACTCATTGTTACTCAGGGACACAGAATTGTTACTCAGGGACACATAATTGTTACTCAGGGACACAGAATTGTTACTGAGGGACACAGAATCGTTACTGAGGGACACAGAATTGTTACTCAGGGACACAGAATTGTTACTCAGGGAACAGAACCATGTTACTCAGGGCCACAGAAAATTGTTACTCAGGGACACAGAATTGTTACTCAGGGACAGACACAGAATTGTTACTCAGGGACACATAATTGTTACTCAGGGACACAGAATTGTTACTGAGGGACACAGAATTGTTACTCAGGGACACAGAATGTTACTCAGGGACACAGAATTGTTACTCAGGGACACAGACACAGAATTGTTACTCAGGGACACACAGAATTGTTACTGAGGGACACAGAATTGTTACTGAGGGACACAGAATTGTTACTCAGGACAGACACACAAATGTTACTCAGGGACACAGAATTGTTACTGCAGGGACACAGAATTGTTATCAGGGACACAGAGTATGTCAGACAACACGCAGAGGTTACTCAGGGACACAGAATTGTGGAGGGACAGAGAATGTTGAGGACACAGCAATTGTTACTCAGGGACACAGAATTGTTACCCGGGGACACAGAATTGTTACTCAGGGACACAGAATTGTTTGGACCTCAGTCGGACTTCCTCTTCCCAGTTACTCAGGGACACAGAATTGGGTTACTCAGGGACACAAAATTGTTTACTCATGGGACCACAGAAATACGTGTTACTCAGGGACACAGAATTGTTACTCAGGGACACAGAATTGTTACTCAGGGACACAGAAATCATTACTGAGGGACACAGAATTGTTACTCAGGGACACAGAATTGTTACTCAGGGACACAGAATTGTTACTCAGGGACACAGAATTGTTACTCAGGGACACAGAATTGTTACTCAGGGACACAGAATTGTTACTCAGGGACACAGAATTGTTACTCAGGGACACAGAATTGTTACTCATTGTTACTCAGGACACAGAATTGTTACTCAGGGACACAGAATTGTTACTCAGGGACACAGAGAATTGTTACTCAGGGACACAGAATTGTTACTACAGGGACACAGAATTGTTACTCAGGGACACAGAATTGTTACTCAGGGACACAGAATTGTTACTGAGGGACACAGAATTGTTACTCAGGGACACAGAATTGTTACTCTGGGACAGACACAGAATTGTTACTGTTACTCAGGGACACAGAATTGTTACTCAGGGACACAGAATTGTTACTGAGGGACACAGAATCGTTACTGAGGGACACAGAATTGTTACTCAGGGGACACAGAATTGTTACTCAGGGACACAGAATTGTTACTCAGGGACACAAATTGTTACTCAGGGACACAGAATTGTTACTCACAGACACATAATTGTTACTCAGGGGGACACAGAATTGTTTACTCATTTGTTACTCAGGGACACAGAATTGTTACTCAGGGACACAGAATTGTTACTCAGGGACACAGAATTGTTACTCAGGGACACAGAATTGTTACTCAGGACACATAATTGTTACTCAGGGACACAGAATTGTTACTCAGGGACACAGAATTGTTACTCAGGGACACAGAATTGTTACTCAGGGACACAGAATTTGTTACTCAGGGAACACAGAATTGTTACTCAGGGACACAGAATTGTTACTCAGGGACACAGAATTGTTACTGAGGGACACAGAAATTGTTACTCAGGGACACAGAATTGTTACTCAGGGACACAGAATTGTTACTCAGGGAACACAGAATTGTTTCTCGAGGGACACAGACATTGTTACTCAGGGACACAGAATTGTTACTCAGGGACACAGAATTGTTACTCAGGGACACAGAATTGTTATCTCATTGTTACTCAGGGACACAGAATTGTTTACTCAGGGACACAGAATTGTTACTGAGGGACACATAACGTTACTGAGGGACACAGAATTGTTACTCAGGACAGACACAGAATTGTTACTCAGGGACACAGAATTGTTACTCAGGGACACAGAATTGTTACTCAGGGGACACAGAATTGTTACTCAGGGGACACAGAATTGTTACTGAGGGACACAGAATTGGTTTCATACAGATTTTGTTACTCAGGGGGACACACAGAATTGTTACTCAGGGACACAGAATTGTTACTCAGGGACACAGAATTGTTACTCAGGGACACAGAATTGTTACTCAGGGACACAGAATTGTTTACTCAGGGACACAGAATTGTTACTCAGGGACACACAGAATTGTTACTGAGGGACACAGAATTGTTACTCAGGGACACAGAATTGTTACACAGGGACACAGAATTGTTACTCAGGGACACAGAAATTGTTTACTCTGAGGGGGACACAGAATTGTTACTCAGGGGACACAGAAATTGTTACTCAGGATAAGACACAGAATTGTTACTCAGGGACACAGAATTGTTACTGAGGGACACAGAATTGTTTACTCAGGGACACAGAATATGTTTACTCAGGGACACAGAATTGTTACTCAGGGACACAGAATTGTTACTCAGGGACACAGGACTAATTGAAACAGTTACTCAGGGGACACAGAATTGTTACTCAGGGACACAGAATTGTTACTCGGGACACAGAATTGTTACTCAGAGGGACACAGAATTTGTTACTCAGTGGGACACATAATTGTTACTAGAGGGACACAGAATCGTTAACTGAGGGACACAGAATTGTTTACTGAGAGGACAGGGGCCCACAGAATTGTTACTCAGGGACACCCCTGAATTGTTACTCAGGGACACAGAATTGTTACTCAGGGACACAGAATTGTTACTGAGGGACACAGAATCTGTTACTCAGGGACACAGAATTGTTACTCAGGGACACAAATTGTTACTCAGGGACACAGAATTGTTTACTCAGGGGACACAGAATTGTTACTCAGGGACACAGAATTGTTACTGAGGGACACAGAATTGTTACTCAGGGACAGAACAGTTTACTCATTGTTACTGAGGGACACAGAATTGTTACTGAGGGACACAGAATTGTTACTGAGGGACACAGAATTGTTACTGAGTTGACAGACACAGAATTGTTACTGAGGGACACATAATTGTTACTGAGGGACACAGAATTGTTACTCAGGGACACAGAAATTGTTACTCAGGGACACAGAATTGTTACTCAGGTACACAGAATTGTTACTCAGGGACAGACACAGAATTGTTACTGAGGGACACAGAATTGTTACGGAGGGACACAGAACTGTTACTCAGGGACACAGAATTGTTACTCAGGGACACAGAATCGTTGAATTAAAGAGTATGTCAGACAACACGCAGAGGAGTGTCAGAGGAGGCCATGTTTTAGGAGCGAGCAGACGTGGCAGCAGAGGAAAGGGGTCGAGGCAGCACTAGTCGCAGCCAGAGGCCAGTGCTCCCGGTGTCATCCAGCGGTCGTGTCTCCACCGACAACCCTGCCGTCATCGATTGGTTGGCTCGGTCGTCTTCCTCTTCCAGGTCACCTCTGACACCTACAGCCAACGGTCGGTGGGTACGTCAGACACAACCATTAGTTGGCATGGCCCTGGAGCAAACCCACTGAAATCACGTGTCCTCTACCTGCCCCTGTCCTTTGGTGTTCCCTCACCAAGCGAAGTATCGCATGCTGTGGGCTCAGCCCCACTGTACAGTGAGGAAGAGCTAACAGAGGGCGGTCAGGAACGGGGGGAGACATCCGCCTCTTCAGCAGCCAGGCGAAGAAGCACTGGCGAGGAGAGTGGCTCGGTAGCCGGTCTAGAGACAGGTCTGTCTCCTGACCCACACGCAGCCGAGGGGGCTAGTAGTGAAGCGGAGACCCTAATTGATGATGATGAGGCTGATCGCACTTGGCAGCCTCGTCGTCATCAGGCTATTGCTTCCGCATCATCAGGAGAAGAGGGTGCCAGCTTGGCAGCGAGCAAAACAGTCGGTGGGTTGCCCAGGAGGCAGCAGGGTCGCAGCAGTGTCAGTGGAGGCAAACGGCCACGGAGTAGAGCACCAGCTCCACTGCAGCCTACCACCACGGCCAGTAGTGGTGCCGGTGTGCACGGAGGAAGTAGCAGTCAGCCAGTGAGGAGTAGCGGGGGCAAAGTTTCCTACTCGGCGGTGTGGCAATTTTTCGTCAAGCCGCCGAGGAAGTAAACGTAGCCGTATGTTGTGGCCAGGGGGTCCATGTCTCCATCGCCACACTCTGCCATGTGCCACTTTCAGGTCTCCTCACACTGCTGGTGGGTTCCATTTTGTCATAGGGTGCTGGCAGATTACGGGCCTCCCATTGCTGCTGCCAGGCCCGTAATCTGCCATGGGCCCCTGTACCGCCTCCTCATGCTGCTGCCAGGCCCGTAATCTGTCATGGGTCCCTGTACCGCCTCCTCATGCTGCTGCCAGGTCCAGAGTCTCTCATGGGTCCCTGTACGGCCTCCCATTGCTGCTGTCTCCATCGCCACACTCTGCCATGTGCCACTTTCAGGTCTCCTCACACTGCTGGTGTGTTCCATTTTGTCATAGGTGCTGGCAGATTACAGGCCTCCCATTGCTGCTGCCACCCGTAATCTGTCATGGGCCCCTGTACCGCCTCCTCATGCTGCTGCAAGGTCCAGAGTCTCTCATGGGTCCCTGTACGGCCTCCCATTGCTGCTGTCTCCATCTCGCCACATTGCTGGTGTGGGTTCCATTTTGTCATAGGGTGCTGGCAGATTACGGGCCTCCCATTGCTGCTGCCAGGCCCGTAATCTGTCATGGGCCCCTGTACCGCCTCCTCATGCTGCTGCCAGGTCCAGAGTCTCTCATGGGTCCCTGTACGGCCTCCCATTGCTGCTGTCTCCATCGCCACACTCTGCCATGTGCCACTTTCAGGTCTCCTCACACTGCTGGTGTGTTCCATTTTGTCATAGGGTGCTGGCAGATTACGGGCCTCCCATTGCTGCTGCCAGGCCCGTAATCTGCCATGGGCCCCGTACCGCCTCCTCATGCTGCTGCCAGGTCCAGAGTCTCTCATGGGTCCCTGTACGGCCTCCCATTGCTGCTGTCTCCATCGCCACACTCTGCATGTGCCACTTTCAGGTCTCCTCACACTGCTGGTGTGTTCCATTTTGTCATGGGTGCTGGCAGATTACGGGCCTCCCATTGCTGCTGCCAGGCCGTAATCTGTCATGTCTCCTGTACCGCCTCCTCATGCTGCTGCCATGGCCACTAATCTGTCAGGTCCCTGTACGGCCTCCCATTGCTGCTGTCTCCATCGCCACACTCTGCCATGTGCCATTTTCAGGTCTCCTCACACTGCTGGTGTGTTCCATTTTGTCATAGGGTGCTGGCAGATTACGGGCCTCCCATTGCTGCTGCCAGGCCCGTAATCTGCCATGGGCCCCCGTACCGCCTCCTCATGCTGCTGCCAGGTCCAGAGTCTCTCATGGGTCCCTGTACGGCCTCCCATTGCTGCTGTCTCCATCGCCACACTCTGCCATGTGCCACTTTCAGGTCTCCTCACACTGCTGGTGGGTTCCATTTTGTCATAGGGTGCTGGCAGATTACGGGCCTCCCATTGCTGCTGCCAGGCCCATAATCTGCCATGGGCCCCCGTACCGCCTCCTCATGCTGCTGCCAGGTCCAGAGTGTCTCATGGGTCCCTGTACGGCCTCCCATTGCTGCTGTCTCCATCGCCACACTCTGCCATGTGCCACTTTCAGGTCTCCTCACACTGCTGGTGGGGTTCCTGTCTAGGGTGTGGGTTCCATTTTGTCATAGGGCCTCCTCATGCTGCTGCCAGGCAGAGTTACTCATGGGGCGGCCTCCCATTGCTGCTGCTCGCCACTAACCGGGCCCGTAATCTGCCATGGGCCCCCGTACCGCCTCCTCATGCTGCTGCCAGGCCCGTAATCTGTCATGGGCCCCTGTACGGCCTCCTCATGCTGCTGCCAGGTCCAGAGTCTCTCATGGGTCCCTGTACGGCCTCCCATTGCTGCTGTCTCCATCGCCACACTCTGCCATGTGCCACTTTCAGGTCTCCTCACACACTGCTGGTGTGTTCCATTTTGTCATAGGGTGCTGGCAGATTACGGGCCTCCCATTGCTGCTGCCAGGCCCGTAATCTGCCATGGGCCCCCGTACCGACTCCTCATGCTGCTGCCAGGTCCAGAGAGTGTGTCATGGGTCCCTGTACGGCCTCCCATTGCTGCTGTCTCCATCGCCACACTCTGCCATGTGCCACTTTCAGGTCTTCTCACACTGCTGGTGTGTGTTCCATTTTTTGTCATTGGGTGCTGGCAGATTACGGGCCTCCCTTTGCTGCTGCCAGGCCCCTAATCTGCCATGGGCCCCTATACCGCCTCCTCATGCTGCTGCCAGGTCCAGAGTCTCTCATGGGTCTCTGTACGGCCTCCCATTGCTGCTGTCTCCATCGCCACACTCTGCCATTTGCCACTTTCAGGTCTCCTCACACTGCTTGTGGGTTCCATTTTGTCATAGGGTGCTGGCAGATTACGGGCCTCCCATTGCTGCTGCCAGGCCCCTAATCTGCATGGGCCCCCGTACCGATTCCTCATGCTTCTGCCAGGCCCGTAATCTGTCATGGGCCCCTGTTGTCGCTTGTTGGCATATTCCGCTCGTTCAGATGCTCCTTCTCCTGCTACTCCTCTTCACGGATTCCGTCAGCAGTCTTTCTTGGAATCCGTTTCCGAGAGAGACAACAGTTTGCGAGCACGCACCCGACGGTGCAGAAGCTGAACGTCCTCCTGTCCAAGTTGCTGCTGCCAGGCTCGTAATCTGTCATGCGCCCCTGTACCGCGCCTCCTCATGCTGCTGCCAGGTCCAGAGTGTGTCATGGGCCCCCCGTACCGACTCCTCATGCTGCTGCCAGGCCCGTAATCTGTCATGGGCCCCTGTACCGCCTCCTCTGCTGCTGCTGCCAGGTCCAGAGTGTGTCATGGGTCCCTGTACGGCCTCCCATTGCTGCTGTCTCCATCGCCACACTCTGCCATGTGCCACTTTCAGGTCTCCTCACACTGCTGGTGGTTTCCATTTTTGTCATAGGGTGCTGTATGGCCTCCCATGCTGCTGCCTCCACCGCCCACACTGTGGCTCCACACTCTGGTTTTGGCCCCGTGACTGCCCAAATGAGTGAAGTGTGCGGTGATTCTAAGATCGATGGCACTCATCTGCATGTCATACTGACTGTCAGTATTATTTCTCTTCCCCAGCAGACTCCAAGGGCATTTAAATTAAAGGTACAGTGTTCTGCACTAATATAAAGGCTCTCTGAAGCCTAGAAACACCCTTTTTAAAGTTAAATTCGCAGCGAATATATTCGCCTCGAATCAAATTTATTCCTCGAATTCGCCGAATCAGTCGAATCGAATTTTTGAATACTTCGCTCATCTGTACTTGTAACACTAACGAGTCACATGACCCCGGGGAGGGAAAATGGCTAATTGGGCCCAATTTGGACCTTGTCACTTAGGGTGGAGTCACTTTTGTTGCCAGCGGTTTAGACATTAATGGCGGTATGTTGAGTTATTTTGAGGGGGGACAGCAAATTTCCATGTTATACAAACTGTACACTGACTACGTCACATTGTAGCAAAGTGTCATTTCTTCAGTGTTGTCACATGAAAGGGAGAATCAAAGATTTACAAACATGTGAGGGGGGGGGGGACTCACTTCTGAGAGAATGTATATACATATACATTGTATACAGTCCGGGGGGAGGGGGGACTCACTTCTGGGAGATACTGTATATATATATACATTGTATACAGTCCGGGGGAGGGGGGGCTCACTTCTGGGAGATACTATATATATACAATTGTATACAGTCCGGGGGAGGGGGACTCACTTCTGGGAGATACTGTATATATATATACATTGTATACAGTCCGGGGAGGGGGGGACTCACTTCTGGGAGATACTGTATATATATATACATTGTATACAGTCCGGGGAGGGGGGGGACTCACTTCTGGGAGATACTGTATATATATAAACATTGTATACAGTCCGGGGGAGGGGGGGGACTCACTTCTGGGAGATACTGTATATATATATACATTGTATACAGTCCGGGGGAGGGGGGGGACTCACTTCTGGGAGATACTGGATATATATATATATACATTGTATACAGTCCGGGGGGGGGGGGGGACTCACTTCTGGGAGATACTATATATACAGGGCTTTCTTTCTGCCGGAACGCGGCGGTACTGCGTTCCGCCACCTTTTTCTTCTTGTCCCCCCGCTCACCGACTGCCTCTGCAGAGCTGACAAGCTATGCAGAGCAGCGAAAGTGACAGGTGCCGGACGCGGCTTGTTTATGTCATGCTTGCGCGTGCCCGGCACCTGTCACTGCCGCTGCTCACAGCCGGTGAGGAGGGGACATGCACGCTTCACCCCCCCCCCCTCTACCGCCAGCGTGTAAACATCGGGGCGCGGACGATGGGCGAGGACACTATGCACGCTTCACCGCCCCCCCCCGCCGGCGTGTAAACATCGGGGGCGGCGCGGCGACATCAACGGCAGTGACAGCGTGGACGCAGGGGCCGTACAGCTTGGAGTAGGTAAGCTGCGCTCGGCTCCCTGTCACTGACTGCAGTATCATGTATTGCTCTAAATTTTTACTCTCTCCCCAGCCTGTGCCCACCTAAACTATCCCAACCACCTGTGCCCACCTAAACTATCTGAGCCCACCTAAACTATCCTCACCCACCTGAGCCCACCTAAACTATTTCAGAACGCAATTGCTCAGCGCTCAGCGGCGCCGATCGAGAGCGCCCCTCCTGTGCATGAGGAACAGGAAAGATAAATTCAGTGATGGACGGTATTTTTTGGAGGAAAAGGTGGCAACCCTAGGGGAGCCTGTAGGAGCAGGCACATCTACCAGACAGGGTACACATGCATGCTAGACTGATTTTATATCTATGCTGGACGTTTACAAACGGCCTGCCATGATTTTATATCTATGCATGTGTTCCTGGTGTCAGTACGGTACTGATTTTATATCTATGCGTGTGTTTCTGGTGTCAGTACGGTACTGATTTTATATCTATGCATGTGTTTCTGGTGTCAGTACGGTACTGATTTTATATCTATGCGTGTGTTTCTGGTGTCAGTACGGTACTGATTTTATATCTATGCATGTGTTTCTGGTGTCAGTACATTAGTCATTTTATATCTATGCATGTGTTTTCTGGTGTCAGTACGGTACTGATTTTATATCTATGCGTGTGTTTCTGGTGTCAGTACGGTATTCATTTTATATCTATGCATGTGTTTCTGGTGTCAGTACATTAGTCATTTTATATCTATGCATGTGTTTCTGGTGTCAGTACATTAGTCATTTTATATCTATGCATGTGTTTCATGCAGATCATGCAAGAGGCAGCCGGGGGTCCGATGACATCATTTCCCTTATATGGTATGTACGGGAAATGATGTCATCGGAAGCCCCTCCCAAATTTTACTTGCATTCCTGTTCTCTAAAGGGGTGGTCCTAGGGTTTGATGGGGGCGTGGCCAGGTTTGGGTGGGGGAGTTCCACCACCTTTCCTCTGAGAAAAAAAGCCCTGTATATATATATATATATTGTATAGAGTCCGGGGGAGGGGGACTCACTTCTGGGGGATACTGGATATATATATATACATTGTATACAGTCCGGGGGAGGGGGGGGCTCACTTCTGGGAGATACTATATATATATATACATTGTATACAGTCCGGGGGAGGGGGACTCACTTCTGGGGGATACTGGATATATATATATACATTGTATACAGTCCGGGAGAGGGGGGGCTCACTTCTGGGGGATACTGGATATATATATACATTGTATACAGTCCGGGGGAGGGGGACTCACTTCTGGGAGATACTGGATATATATATACATTGTATACAGTCCGGGGGCGGGGGGACTCACTTCTGGGAGATACTATATATATATATATATATATATATACATATATACATTGTATACAGTCCGGGGGAGGGGGACTCACTTCTGGGAGATACTGTATATATATATACATTGTATACAGTCCGGGGGAGGGGGGGCTCACTTCTGGGAGATACTGTGTATATATATATACATTGTATACAGTCCGGGGGAGGGGGGGCTCACTTCTGGGAGATACTGTGTATATATATATACATTGTATACAGTCCGGGGGAGGGGGGACTCACTTCTGGGGGATACTGGATATATATATACATTGTATACAGTCCGGGGGAGGGGGACTCACTTCTGGGAGATACTGTATATATATATACATTGTATACACAGTCCGGGGGAGGGGGGGGCTCACTTCTGGGAGATACTGTATATATATATACATTGTATACAGTCCGGGGGAGGGGGGACTCACTTCTGGGAGATACTGGATATATATATATACATTGTATACAGTCCGGGGGAGGGGGGGACTCACTTCTGGGAGATACTATATATATATATATATATTGTATAGAGTCCGGGGGAGGGGGGACTCACTTCTGGGGGATACTGGATATATATATATACATTGTAT